CTGAAACTGATCAGTGGCTGATTCCAGGAAGCTGGGGGCAGAGCAATTCTGCCTCCAGCTTCCTGTAGTCAGCCCCTGATCAGTTTCAGCAGCAGCGGCTGAATCTGGAGCCAGTTCCGACTTACATACAAATTCAACTTAAGAACAAACCTACAGTCCCTATCTTGTACGTAACCCGGGGACTGCCTGTAAACACTCTGATTTGGGACTGGGAAAGCACTGCTGGCTTTCTGCAGCTGCTGTCCTTTGAGGTGCGTGGCTCAGGCCCATTCCATGGAGGTGTGTGCCCAGCAGCCAGAGACAGGGTTGCCAGGTGTCCGGTATTTTCACCTCCTGTCTGGTAAAAAAATGCAGAAAATACTGGACATCTAAAATATCTGGTATTTTCTGATTTTTTCCCCCTGCCAGGTGATGAAAATACCGAACACCTGGCAAGTTTGCAGATGACACTAAGCTAGGGGGAGGGGTAAATACGCTGGAGGGCAGGGAAAGGGTCCAGAGTGACCTGGACAGATTAGAGGGTTGGGCCAAAAGAAATCTGATGAGGTTCAACAAGGACAAGTGCAGAGTCCTGCACTTGGGATGGAAGAATCCCAAGCATTGGTACAGGCTGGGGACCGAAGGGCTAAGTAGCAGTTCTGCAGAAAAGGACCTGGGGATTCCAGTGGATGAGAAGCTGGATATGAGTCAACAATGTGCCCTTGTAGCCAAGAAGGCTAATGGCATATTGGGGTGCATTAGGAGGAGCATTGCCACAGATCCAGAGATGTCATTATTCCTCTTTATTTGGCTCTGGTGAGGCCACATCTAGAATATTGTGTAAGGGCCCCCCACTACAAAAAGGATGTGGACGCATTAGAGAGGGTCCAGTGGAGGGCAACCAAAATGATTAGGGGGCTGGAGCATATGACCTATGAGGAGAGAGTGAGGGATTTGGGTTTGTTCAGTCTGCAGAAGAGAAGAGTGAGGGGGGATTTGAGAGCAGCCTTCAACTTTATTAACAGAGATTGACTATCTCCTAAAACTGCAAGGGACCTCACAAGGTCATTGAGTCCAGTCCCCTGCCTTCACAGCAGGACCAAGTACCATCCCTGACAAATTTTTGCCCCAAATCCCTAAATGGCCTCTGTAAGGACTGAACTCACAACCCTGGGTTTAGCAGGTTGCTGCTCAAACCACTGAGCTATCCCTCCCCCTCAACTTCCTGAAAGGGGGGTTCCAAAGAGGATGGAGAAAGGCTGTTCATAGTAGTGATGGATGGCAGGAGGAGGAGCAATGGTCTCAAGTTACAGTGGGGGAGGTCTAGGGTTCAATATTAGGAAAAACTATTTCACTAGGAGGGAGGTGCAGCCAGGGGCAGATGACCGTTTTGCGGGGCCCCGGGCAGCATAATTCCGTGGGGCCCCCCCTTTGCCAGGGCGCATGCGTGGGGCTTTCTGAAGTGGACGCGGGGCTTTCTGAAGCGCGGGGCCCGGAGCGGCCGCCCAGTTCGCCCTGCCCTATATCCGCCCCGCCTGTTAGCTTGGTTGCTAAAGTTCAAGCAGTAAGCAATAGCTGGTTTGATTTAGTTGGGTTGGTCCTGCCTAGGGCAGGGGGCTGGACTTGATGCCCTCCTGAGGTCTCTTCCAGCTCTGTGGTTCTATGATTCTAAGTGGCGGCTCCATAGATACTCTGACTGGGGATTTGGGTAGCAAGGCCTCTGCTCAGTCCTAAGCTCAGGTGGAATGCATGGTGACTGTGGCCAGTGGCAAGCCACCCCCTTGTGCAGGGAAAATCCTCATACACATTCTTCCCAGGATGAAATGCTCTGGCAGTAAACAGGCCTGTCCTTCCACAGGGCCAAATTCCTCCTTTCCCCACAGGTACCCATCCACCACTCTGCCCCAGGCCTCGTCTCCACTGCACCCTTTCCCCCTACCCCATCTTCCCACCCCCGCTCTGTCCCAGGCCCCGTCCCCACTCCATCCTTCCTCTCCCCACCC